ATTTTGTGTGAGTGGTGCTCTTACAAAATTAGGCAGTAGTATATTGTACGATGTATGATCTAAGCTTTGTGGTTCTAGGTTCAATACATTACTCACTTTAGATTGCAACGAGGACGGACTAGATAATTCAGATGGTTCCCGTACTAAAGTTTAACCTGATGCTGCTTTATCAGTCCTTCGCCAGCAATCATGACACTCACGCGATGACGATGGCAACTGAAATAATATTAAATAAAAAAAATAAGACAAAGTGAACAAAATAAAATAGATTTGTTTATTTTAAACTCAAATACTTAAAACTTAATGCCCTATATTATTTAATAATTAAGGACTGACTGCCTACCAGTAGTCCAAAAACAATTAAAAGTCGACTGTCTCATTTCATGGTATTTGATAAAAATTGTCCATTTCGTAACTATTTGGTGTTAGCTAGCTAATCTTATCGCCATGTTATAAATAAGCTATTATGTTTGTCAGATATAGCTTGTACATGTGTTAAAAAGTAAAACAACTTCATCATTTCATTCATTCATCACTATCAAATATCAGCACTAGAATTAATAAATTAAAAACTGTTGGAACACTTACTTTTAACTGTTGTCACACTATAATGTGATCGACAATCTCACTCCATATGAGTTCTTGAGAATTTATTTGAAATATAACAAACAAAATAACACAATTGCGACTGTTTAGTTGTGAATTCTCTAGTACCTTTTTAAGTTTTTACTTGTTGAATTGTGATTTCATTTTGACATATTTCCTAGCTGTCAGATTTGATGTTGCCACATAACTAACATAAATACAATGAAACGATATCGATTTTTTCTCGATTAGTAATTTAATAAAAAAATAATAATATTTGAGGCGCTTTAAGTTCTACACGCTTTTTAAAATATATTTTCTTTTACTTACTTAAATTCTTTCTTAAATGTATTTTTAAGAACAGTTAAAATGTGGAGGAGCGTATTGTTATGATCTAAACAGTTCATGGTAAATCAGCTAAAAATTCACTTGTTAATTATCATAACATGATTCCATTTTAAATGTATTGTTAAAACAGATAACAATTACTGTTAAATTGTGCAGAAGCATTTTGTTATACTCTAAAGAATTCATAGTAAATCAGCTAGTAATTCACTTTTTTAATTATCATAACATCATAATATCGATAGCGATTCCATTATTATTCGATTAATAATTTCATAAAAAGAGAATAATCTTGGAGGTGTTTTAACTTCTGCTCGCTTTTTAAAATGTATTTTCCTCTATTTATTTAAATTCTATTTTAAGTGTATTTAAAGAACAGTTAATTGTGCAGTAGCGTTTTGTTATGCTCTAAAAATTCATGGTAAATCAGCTAGAAATTCACTTGTTTTAATTATCATAACATGATTTCATTTTAAATGTATTGTTAAGAACAGATAAGAATAACAGTTATATTGTGCAGTAGCGTTGTGTTATACTGTATAGAACTCATTGTAAATTAGCTAGTAAACCGCTTATTTAATTATCATAACTACGGATGTGAAGGCGGTTGTTAACGTTTTCAACCAAGCCGATAACAACGGTTGTTTTTGGCTTTAAATTGATAAAAATATTTTTTGGTGCAATAAGTTTTTCTCTTTCGTAATGAATAAACCACAGAAAGCCCTATAATGTAGATTAGTCCTTTTTTTTTAGCTACAAGTAGCTTAATTACAATTTTGTCCTTTATACAAACACTAGGAAAAACAAAGTAACTTTTTGCTGGCGATAATGATAGTAGTATTTTAACTCGATGTAGAATCTATGCTTGTTACTACGGAACTCTTCATTGGCTTGCGAGGCCGATTCACATTGTGCCACGCTTTCCAACTACTAGTTATATTAATTATTTTTTCGTTTAAGTGGAGCTCTCTTATTTTAGATTTATTACCTATATCTAAAACAATCAACCTAAGTAGGTAAAGTGTGTAAATACGATTGTTAAATCGTAAAAATAATAATAGGATTTGATCATCTTAGGTAGGTATTTAATTTTATTTATTTAAAAAGTATTAGTAATATCACAAATAATTATTTATAAATATAATTTTATCACACAACTAACGCCATCATTAGCAATGTAATGGTGAAAGAATTTTCAAAATCGGTCAAGTATTTTTCGAGATTAGCTAATAAAAACATATTCACAGAAAGTAGCGCCCTCTATAATAAAATGCATCCTACATTAAATATCTATAATTATATATAACATTATAGCGATGAAAGTATTTTACGAGTTTAGCTAAATAAATATATTCGTTGAAAGTAGCGTCCTCTATCATAAAATGCATCGTACGTTTCACAGTAATAATAGAATTGTAATGATGAAAGAATTTTTTTAATCGTTCAAGTAGTTTTTAAGCACCATTGCAAAAAGCGATTCAGCTTAGCCACCCGCACACACAGTAAAAACATAACCATCCTTTTTCGTCTGTAGTCGGATAAACAACTGGTTGACTACGGTTGCGTATCGGCTGCTTTGGATAAATATCCGTTGTCAACGGTTGCTTTACACCTATATCATAACATCATAATAATTATCGAAAAGTTATATTAGCATTGTAATAATGACACCATAAATAATCGATTAAAAAAAGGGAATCGATTTTAATGAGATTTGTGACTGGCAACATTTATTATTTTATCCACAAACTAATGAATTACGCATTTACCTAATTTTATTTTTATCATTTCAGTATCTTTTTTTGTGCAAAAATATTCCCATCTTTTTAGGATAAATGAATACCGCGATTAATAACTATAAATAAAGATAATTAGTTTTAATCTTTAATATTATAATTTTAATTATTATTTTAGTTAAGTTCTTTATTATAATTTTTGTAATATAAATTGAACGTTGTAACACCATTAAATATGTAAAAATAAATAATAAAGATATATTTTTTTTAACAAATGCATATTGTTGGGCGTTCCATGGCCGAAAATGGGCATCCCCCTTTTATAGCTATTCCTCCATTTTGTCCAACTGGCACTTTAACTTGCGTAGTCTGAGTTCCCGTCGAAACTAAATGGTTTTGGTGGACTTAAGACACCTTCCATAATTATTAAATGTTATTATACTAAACACTATTCAAATTAACTTGTAATAATATACTTAATAAACTTATTTATCCTACCGGCTGCGCCATGTGAACACGGGCACGCAACAATCAAACACCGAGATCGAGTTGAGACTGATTTATTCATATTTACCCTCCACTATCACAATAATCTCTTACATTTTGCATTTATACGTGTGAATTGACTTATTAGTGACATTTTAGTGAATACGCGGGCTCCGACCACTCCCCCGTTCTATTATGTATGTATTATAGTATCCTTGGGTACGAGGCTGCCACTCGAAAACATTTCTTTCCCATCGGTTATCGGTTCTTCGGGCTATATGGTCGGCCCATTGCCACTTCAGCTTACTAATCCGTTGGGCTATGTCGGTCACTCTGGTTTTACTGCGGATATGCTCATTTCTGAGTTTATCACGCAGATAAACTCCGAGCATAGCCCTCTCCATAGCTCACTGAGCGACCTTGAGCGTCCTCATACGGTCAGCATGCGCCATTAGCTCAGAGTAATTACATACGAATGTATCCATAGAGGGAGCTTACAATTCTATATAAATTGAGAATATACTACTAATAATATACTTGTCTTTCTTTTAATTTAACTTATTTTAATTTTATAGATAAATATTGTGTAAAGACCATGCAAATAGTAATGTAAGTGTTATGGAAGAGTAAAATCTCCTAACACAAGTTTTACTTAAAAGGAAACCTCATTCCAGGTTATAATTTATATATGATCATTTACTGAATAAACTATAATGTATGTGTAGATTATATAGATTTAGGTAACCAGCACGAGATCGTCCGTGCGGCGGCAGTCGGGAAATGAACGTCCTAGCGAACGCACGGTGTATCATTTAAAAATCACAGTGGCTAACGAGTTTGGGATAGCGTTAACTTTTTGTATACGTTGTTTGCTGTGGTATATAATAGAATGTTGGTAAGTAAAGTCAATGACTTTGATTTAAGAAGTGGAGCATGGTCGTCGTATGTGGATAGACTAGAAATGTATTTCTTAGTAAAAAAATAAAAACTGAATTAAAATTACCTACACTAATCGCGGTAATCGACGATGAAGCATTCGAATTATTGGCAAACCTAGCAAGTCCAAAGAAACCATCCGAAGTATCCTACGATGACGCAGTGGAACTCCTACGTCAGCACATACAACCGATACGTCTCTTACCTCTATCGGTACCTCTCAGCGTGCACTGGCAAACCTAGCAAGTCCAAAGAAACCATCCGAAATATCCTACGATGACGCAGTGGAACTCCTACGTCAGCACATACAACCGACACGTCTCTCAACTCTATCGGTAGCTCTCAGCGTGCACAGACGCAGAACAGGTGCCGATTCTGACAACGCAGGCAGGCTAGCAATGAAAATATAGCGAGCTACGTCGCGAAGTTAAAGAAGCTGACACGTCATTGTAAGTTTAAGGAGGTTCTTAATGAGAACTTACGCTAGCAATTCGTTTGCGGGCTGCGAAGCGACGTCATTAGGCAACGGTTGTTCGCGGAGGATGATTCGCTATCATACACCAGCGCAGTCAAAATTGCAAACCCTGTCGAAGCAGCGGAGTGGCACGCAGCTGCAGTGGAAGGTGCTACTACAACGGGGAAGGATACCAGGATCCAGAAATCGATGACAGTGCATGCGCTCACATGTGGCGGCGCGTGGCATCGCGGGGAGTGGGTGTGGCTTGGAGGCGGCGCGGGAGAGTGGAGCGTCGGAGCATCGCTGAGAGGCTGTGCGGATGAGGTGGGCGGGACGGTGTGCACGCGCAATAGCGACTGCACGCATGCTGCCGGTGACGCTGGGGGTCGTCAGTTTAATTGCGGAGGCTGCGGAGCAACGAATCATGAGTATTCGAACTGTCATTTAGACTATGTATGCAGCATGTGCAGGCGCGACAAAGTAACAGTAGACTATCTCTCGCTTCTACTACGCCCAATTTGGATCAACAGTCCACCAGAGATTCTCAAGAGGTTCATTTGCTGATAGATAGTGGTAGTCCCGCCCACCAGTCGGAGGAGCCGACGGAGGCAACTAGCTCATCTCCGATAGAGTTCAGGTCAGGAGTAGATCAGTCTAAGCTAGAGGGGGCTATCCCGGAGTCACCGGAACGGCAGCCTCTTTGCCCCTTGTTGCTACACCCCGAGTTCACCCTATTAGGAAATGTAGATTGAATAAATCTAGTTATAAGGAGTAGTGTAAGTAATTGTTGTTTTAAGGTATAATATATGGTATTTTTAGGGTTATGAAACAGTTTAGGTAAAGGTAATTTAAGTACTATGTTATATTAAAATTATTTAGGTACTAGTCTTAAGTATCATTGTTAGGATTGGTTTAAGATTATTATGTATTAGTTTATGTATTATTGTTATGGTTGACCTAGGATAAATATTTTATGCTATTATAGTCATAAGTGTGAGTGTCTAGTGTAGAGGAGTGTAATGTCTGGCTACTTAAATCTATATACATATATAGATTTAGGTAGCCAAGCTGAAGTAAAAATCCGCTTTACTTCAGTGTTTAAATGTTAAAGCGACAGCGCGCTGATGGCTAAGTCCACTAATCCCCGAAAGGCATTCATCCTAGACGCATTTTGTATCGGGAGACTTGAGCCCAACATTTCATAGCATAATGCGAAAGGGAGATAAAACAATTAACGCATCAGTAACATTTTAGTCGGAGAATACTCGAACGATAGACTAGAAAGAGTAGTGTTTTTATTAGACTGTGCTCCCAACTAATATAAAGTTTTCCGCCAGATTCCAGATATTTTTTAGCGTTTAGATATCTAAGAAAAGCGATGTAGACCCTAGAATTGCAATAGATCTAGCGCCAAATGCGCTAAAACGGCAACACTGTCTTACTCAGTCAAAGGGTACAAGTGAAAAAAGTTATATATATATATATATATATATATATATATATATATATATATATATATATATATATATATATTGAATCGAACAAATCATTTACTGTGTTTCGTTCTGCTAACTCTCGCTGCGTAACTCGAGTTTAGTTCACGTTATGTTAGTACTGTTATTAGTTTGTGAGTTTAATTCGAGTTGTGTGAATTTAAAACAAAAAATTAAACGGAAAAATTACGACTCGAATAAAATCGAGTCGCAATTTCTCCGAGTAACCACATCTATATTATGTGCCAAATCGATTGAGAAAAACGGACAACGACCTTTCGGTCGTTTAACCAGGGGCTACAAACCTTCAATATATAGGTACATTTTATATGTAGTACTTTCTTTATTTATAATTATTTTTTTATTTTTTTTTATAATGATTGATATAATATACATTTATTAACTATTATTAAGAAGTTATGTAAAAGATCGCTGAAAAAGAAAAATCATCAATTGTTATAAAGTACTTTATTTATTTAACAACAAAAAGCATTAATTTATAACACATATAAAGATTCGAGTCATAACGACACTAATATGTACGTACTTATGCAAAAGATAAAACTTTATTTTCAATATTATATAAGAACTTTATTTTTATTCTGTGCAATCATCACTCGTATCTTCACTTGATGTGTTTTCAGATGAACTGTCTGTAACATTAATTATAAAGTGATCCGCAGTTTGGTCAATTCTATCATCCATGCCACGCATTTTTTGTTCAACCTTAAGCCAAACCGAAAAAGGTGACGCATCTCTGGCTGCCATTGTCACGTTTCTTTTAAAACGAACTGACGTAACGCGCGTTTTGTTTATTTTAATGAATGAATTTGCAAAAACTCAATATGGTGATTATACAGCGTGAGTCTTTATAAAGTGCACATATCATACCAGGGAAACTACATATAATTTCATCGAAGGAAAAATTATAAAAAAAAATATTTATTTTTTTATGAATATTTTAAAATTTGAAATTGCAGCTCCTAAACCTATTTAAATAAATTGTTATAACTTTTAAACTGAATGTCCTATCAAAATGGAATAAATTTTCAAATGATTTTTAATAATAAGCCGTGCCAATAAAGTAAAAATTTCCAAAAAAATGAACGTCATAAAATTAGAATAAAGAGGTTTTTGATGAAAATCTGGTATTTTTTCATCATTTTTACAATAACTTTAAAATTTCTCGAAAAATCGTCAACTTAATCCTACTTTTTTTTAAATCCTATGTTATTCTATATCGTATTAGCTTTCTAATGGTAAAAAATGCACGTTTATTATCCAAATGCAACCATTTCCATGAGTGTTTGAAAAAGCCCTTGCGTTTGCGCGTCGTTTAGCTCGGCACCCGCCATTTTTTATCAGGCAGGTAGAGACCCCTTTTTTTGGGTGAGTCATTGTTTTAATAAATAATAAATGATTTATGTAGATAAAATCTAGTTTAATTCCTAAAAATGTAGTTCTCTCTACCTGCTACGGTGCTTAACTGAGTTATGTGTTTTTTTTAATGCTAATTAATAAAGTTGTATCTGAGTAATTAACGTGCATTTTTTGCTATTAGAAAGCTAATATGATGTAAAATAACATAAGATTTAAAAAAAGTAGGATTAAGGGGACGATTTTTCGAGAAATTTTAAAGTTATTGTAAAAATGATAAAAAAAAACAGATTTTCATCAAAAAACTCTTTATTCTTATTTTATGGCGTTCATTTTTTTGGAAATTTTTACTTTATTGGCACGGCTTATTATTAACAGTCATTTAAAAAATTATTCCATTTTGATAGGACATTCAGTTTAAAAGTTATAACAATTTATTTAAATAGGGTTAGCAGCTACAATTTCAAATTTTAAAATATTCATAAAAAAAAAAAATAAATAATTTTTTTATAATTTTTCCGTCGATGAAATTATGTGTAGTTTCCTGGTTTTGATATGTGCACTTTATAAGACTCACACTGTATTGCTTCACATAGTTTTTTTTAATATGAAACTGTTATTAAATGAATTGCTGCGTTACTTACCATAAACTGAAATTTAAAATTTAACACATTTTTCGCGATGTATCGTAAGATTTTACCACTGAACCACAGACAATATTATTTAAGAAACAAAAAAAAACATATGTGCTGATCTAGAAGTGTGAATAATATCAATATTAAAATATTGTTATCACATCTAAAATGAGATTTTGTAAGTTACGCCTTTTGACACTCGGCCCATATCTGAGGTCATTGTCTGTTTTTCTCACAGATTACCCCCTAATAGATTCCGCATAAAGGGCCACAAACGCGCGCAATACATGCTTGCTGTAGCTAGCATACGAAGTGACGCTAAAAATCACGATATCAGTGACGACCAAATTTGTGACCCGTAGTGACGTCCGAGTTCTTGACAATTTAAAAAGTCTTTTATCCAAAATTACATTACAAATGGCTTCTTGTGCAATGTGCATTAAAATAGTGTGGCAAGTCAGCTAAGACATCCTATCCAAGATAAGTTATCAAAAAGATGGCATAATATTTCATCGGTAAGTAAATTCTATTCTTATTACGTTAACCTATTTCAAATGCACCGGAGTTCAACTTATACTGGTAATATAATGGTGCAAAGTGATAACAATTACCCGTTGATGTCTTTTTGAAATGTCACTTTCAATCATTACATAAATTAAGGTAGTTGTCTTTGTCTAACGACAGCACGTGTTTCGATAGTGTTGTGATTTATAAGTAGATATTTGTTTGGTCATCGTTTACATTTTTTAAAGTCATTTCTTTATAAAAATAGTAGTGTATCATTGTGGTACCTATATGTTATAGGTTTTCTAAATGCACCAAAAGGAAAAAGATGTGGATCGACGCTACTTGTCGAGGGGACCAATGGTTTCCCACCAAAAATAGTGTGCTATGCTCAAGACACTTCACAGAAGACAATCTTCATATTATTATGAAAAACCGTAGAATACTGTTGGATTCCGCTATAACATACTTGCCAGTTTTGGTATGGACTTTTACATTTTTTAAAGTATAGTACCAATGTAGATTACACAATAAGTAATAGCATTAAGGTGAATCCCTGACCAAAATGTTGCGAAAGTGCGTTTTTCAGACTCTATTATCTCATCAGTTATGAAAAATAAACTACATCTAAAAGTACATTATTAATGTTCGATATCTTATCATCGCATTCCACGCTCTAATTTATTTTTATGTGCTATAAATACATTTAAAATCAACTTTTAAAAAATTACTAAAATTCTTGATTACATGCATCTGTTGCTAAACGCAACGCTCTAATCATTTGAGGATAACACTAATGGATAGATAATTAAAAAAATCTATATTCTCCACGTTTTATTTAAATTTTTAAGTTCGTTTTTTCTCTTTTAATTGAAATAATTCCGAAAATTGTGTGACTTCTATGATAAAGGGGCGTGCGCAGAGTGCGGGCGGCATTACGCTGTATGCGTTCATACGAGGTGGCCGCGTCGCTGGTCGCCGCGCGTCCGTATTTCGCCGCAAACATAATATTATTTGAGTACCTACCAACCGATGCGCTTACGTCACGGTATATTGTAACTCGGCCGTATCTTAGAAATAAATATTACAGCCGTGCGGTACGTAAACATGCGATAGGGATGCCTGCCTCCAGCATTTTTACATTTGCCCATTGATTTATGTGTTTTATAACTCAATGCATTTTCCTACTTTGTGTTTCCATTTAGTTTTATGATTGTACTTAAATATAATTTTTTTATATAAACAAATATATAATAGGTACTTTGTGAATTGAATAGGAAGTGTTCAATAAAAATGCGTGTCGTTTTATGATTGGCAGATTTAATTAAAAACCATGTTTATATTTGAATAACAAATCGGTCTTATAAATTTGCGGCCGAAAAATATTTGCGCCTCGGCTGAGACGTACGAAATGCTTTATTATTAAAATTTTAAATATAAAAAATCCGCATTATAATATAAAGCTTAATTAAAAATTGTTTTGGGAAACATGGACAAGTTGGAGTAAAGGAATATCTTTTACTTGGTTATAGATACCTGCAGCTACTTTACAATTTATATGTTTGGTTTTAAATGAAGTTTGGATTTATTATTTTTTTATTTTTATTCTATTTTCTGAAAGGGTCCTAGGAAAGGAATTATCACTGCGTGTTGGCGAACTTTGCATGTCTTCGAAATATTTTTTTTCTTATTTCTCAGACATGCAGGTTTCCTCACAATGTTTTCCTTCACCACTGAGCACGT